TATCTCATGATTTCCTTTTTTAGAGGGAATGAATAGGTGCTCATCCTAAAAAGGGTTATAAAACAGCCTTTTCAAGCGGCCTCATGATAATACAAAACAGGCAACATTTCATTCTGAATCACGTATTACAAGCTATCTCAATTAGATCAGAGTTACACTATTGTCACTGCAGGGTAGAATGGTGTTGACAACATCGCTGCGTTTATCACAGTGGTGACACTCTCTTTTGAATCTTAGGATTGTGCTCTGAGTCAGAGCAAACTAAATGAGACTGTTTTTAGACTGAAATCACTGAGACAGACCCAATTTATGCAATATTCACTACAGTAGTGGCAAGGTGGTTTGTTTCATCCCTTCATGTTACATTGGTAAAATGAGGACAATGCACTAATGACATCATGTTTTCACAGGCAAACAGATTGTAAGGCATAAAGTTGTAATGTCTTCTTTCAGCCTGGTGTCTTGATAATAATTTTCCCTCTCCCTAGACCCTCTGTGCAAAACTGAACTGGTCTGATGAGGCAAGGACTTCTGCAGAAAAATGTTTTGCTTTTGTTGATCCGCTTTAATCCGCGTGGCAGATGTCCTTTATAACGATGTCAGTTATGAGTGAAAGGAAAATGAAAGAATCGCTTATAGTCTCCCAGCCCCTTCGCTGATTAGGTCTCTGAATTTGCTGACAGTTAAGCATAAATACATGATCTCATTGTAATGGTAAATGTATCAGGATTTTAAAGATATGCAGTGATGATTAGATGTGTTTAAAAATTCATCCACCTCTACTGAATTTATCATCCATCGATCAGCCACACCATTTCTGAGAAGAAAATGCCCACAATGGGCTTGATCGATTAGAAAATCTCTTTCCAAAGAAAGCAGCTGTTGTTTTCATCTCCCTATTAGAACTCCTTTAATTACACTAGACTTGTTAAAATCCATCCATCAATTTCCATCCATACACACAGTCTATACATTTATCAAATTAGCCCAGATAAATAGAATTAGAATAGATCAATGGTTTTAGGACACTTTATATGCTTTATCCTGGCAGAGGACGCTATTCCTTTAAGGTGTATGTATAAGACTGCTGTTATATGATAACATTCAATGTCAGATAGCTAGCAGGAAATGAGTGATGGCCCCTGTCCACTTCAGGGGGAACATTTAAGAGTCATTATTCCACCATTATCATCCTTGCCAATGACTGTGGAGCACTCCTGCCTCCTGTCAGTGGGCTGTCTGCTGTGTAATGGGCCCGGGGTATCCATTATGAAGCCAAAATGGCCGCAGATGCACTTTAGCCACAGTCTGCTAAAAGTGGCCAAGGGACTAGGGGGAGAGTGTACAGATCAGAAAAGAAAAAAATATATTAGTATATGAACCACCATTAAGTATAGATGAAGTAAAATATTTTGAGCTTTTTCCATTGACAGATGGTGGAATGAGTGAAATAAATTATAGATGTTTTACTTTGCAAAATAACTACCTACATATTCATTATCAGTTAATGTGCTGGATTATTTCCTTGACTTTTAGAACTCTTTCCGAACTTCTGAACTCAGAAAGCCCAAGGTGACATCTTGTCCAACCAGCAGTCCAAAACCCGAAGACATTCCAGGTCCAGTAATTAAGCAACCAGAAATATATAATATGCATAACTATGTATTTCTGTTTTTGTTACCTTTAGAATGACCCTGGAGCCTGCCATGTTGAACTGCCATGTTTCTACAGTAACCCAGAATAGACAAACAAAACACTAGACTCTAGATAGGGCTGTTGGCTTTTTTCACATGTTTCGTAACCATCGTAGTTTTTCCTTCATGCTGGGAATGGAAGGGTGAACCGAGAGAGTTGCAATCTGCAAGTATACTCAGATGCCACTAAATAAAAATTAAAAAATGGATCCTTTAAAATAATATAGAACATGGAAAAGCAGCAAATCTTCACATTTAGAAGTAGAGAATAGAGAGAAGAGAATGTTTGCCATTTTACAAATAATTTATTATCAAAATTGTCACTGATGAATTTTCTGTTGATCTACTAAATGTTTCTATTATATTTATATTGAAAAACAGTACATGTAGCATCTTTAAAATTAAATCCAGACAGAAATAATACCATATCCAGCCCTGGATATGGAGTATAAATTTTAGTGTGGGTAGGTTGCATCTCATAAAACTTGTTATCAGGGAACCAGCAACTCTCAGGAACAGACTGTCTCTGTTCTCAGTACACAGTTTATTGTTACCAAGTCACACATTTAGACATTGTACCAGTTTTAAAGCATGCTCTAGATTTGTATTACTGTCAATCACATGACTTCCTACTGAGTATTAGCATTTCATGTCGACTAAGGAATATCCGCCAAGTGCCCTGTTGCACATGTTGGCATCCATGTAAGTCTGTCTTTATGTCTTGCTCCCACACACACACACAGAAACCCTAACACACTTCCTGCTCAGGAGAAGAACATTGTCTTCCCTGCACCCTCCTGAGCATCCATGCAAAAGGCTACAAATAATCCCTCTTTTTCTTCTGCACTTTTCCTCGTTCTGCACTCTCTTCCTTGTTCGACTTCAACTACAACAACTACAGTGCATCTTCCTCTACCTTGGGTCGCTGACATTCCTACTTGCCCACTAGTCTGCAGTATGTTATTTAGTTGCCCCTGTACTCATGATTTACAGAGCCTTAATGTAGTACTGTGCTTGCAGTCAGCAGATGAATTCGTCATTTGTCACATTAATAGTCCTCCCTCTCTGCCATACATTCACACGTGCACACACGCGCACCTACACATACATACTGTACACATCCCTTTCCCAGTATGCCTCCATTCAACACCTCCTCTTAATATCATCCTTCCTTTTCTCCCCCTCCTCACTCATCCTTCTCACCCCTCTCCCTAATGTCTGTTATCCAAAACCACTCTCCTTTTTCTTAATCTCCTCCTTCACACCTCCTCTGGTATCATGGTAGACCTTAACATACATGAATATGTTTATGATATGTTCATGTTCTGCGGTCCTTGTTGTGCTTCTTGAAGTGCTCGATATCACAGATTTGTATGATACAATAAGGTCTTAGATTGCAGTGCTGTTACTTTGTGCTAAATTTTGCAGACATTGAAGTGGACTATATAATTAGGTGGTATCATGAAATTCAGTGAGAGAACATTTAATTGCTGTTTTGAACAATATGCTCAGCTGTTTATGCTGAAATTATAAGAGCCCTGCTGTGTGAGAAGCAGTGACTTGAATTTTAAAGGCAGCGTTTGCCGTATCCTGTCCTGTGTCACATGCAAAATTAGAGAATCCCTGTAGTAGACGATTATGCAGCTCATAACACAGAGAGCTTAAAATTAAATGCAAATTCATTATTCTTCATTTTAACTGTTTTGCATTGGGATTCACGTCACTTTCTCTTTCCTGGTAATTGCCTATTTCTGTCTTTTGCATCTTTTAACATAAGAGACTATACAAATAACAATTTATGGTTTGTATACTCCACAAAAGGTTTGGTCAAGAGTAAAGGGTCAGCAGTTATGAATGTGTATTTTTCCTCTAAAACATGAGAATAATATAAGCTGTGGTTTCAACTGAGCCAAAAATATTGGTTTAGAATAAGTCGCGTATCTTGTGAAAATTGCCTGATTCGATGCACAGTGAGTTTTAGCCTGTGTGCTAAATGTGAAATTGAAGATTTTAGTACGGATGAATGTTTCAAATGCACATGAAAACCAACTGTAGAAAGAGAAAAAAGTAAAAACAGCTTATGAACTGTATTTTACCTTTACACTACACAACTGTATTAAAGATAGAGTTATGAAATTGTGTTGTATATTTAAAGTGAACTTCACTAAACATGGTCATTTTGTTTGAATTAATCATCTTTTTAGGTGATTGATTAACTGTCAGATACATTTAAGAGAAAATAATGAATGTCTAATAGATCAGATCACTGCAACCTCAAGTCTACCCACTGTCATTAAATATTTACCACTACTTAGACAGAACAGCTTTTCTCGTCAATTTTAGATGTATTAATAATGTCAAAGATGGCATTTTCTTCTTTAAAAGGTATTTGGCATTTTGTCCCAGCAGACATGCTGACCTGCCCTAAGAGGATCTAAGACAGATTTTGTCCAAATAACGTGTAAATAAAAATGTACAGACATTACAAGCATGTGTCTGCAGGCTTAATCTGTGCCGGTTTATAGATTCAGGTTTATAGAAAGACCGAGAGAGAGAGAGAGAGAGAGAGAGAGAGAGAGAGAGAGAGGGGGGGAGGGAGGGAGAGAGAGAGAGAAGGGTGTGAAGGACAATATTTAGTTTAGATTCATGAGAGGCATCATTTTGCATTTAACCTTCTGTAAAAAGTTAAAATACTCCAGATTTTTATTTGTGACAGATTCTTCCCACTCAGTCGCTAAGAAACACACCGACTCCTGTAGCTCTCTGATGCATCCGCTGTTTTCAAGTGACTGTTACCTCTAACAAGCATTTTTCGCTTTAATCAGCTGTCTCATTTTTGTCTGGGGACAAGGATTAGAGGATGCCCCCCACTAAATCTCTCATCTACACATTACAATACAACTTCAGTACCAACCCCCTGCTTTCTGTGATCTGCTCTCATCTGCAAAGGCTCAGATGTAATCCTAAGTAGGATACACAAAGAATCATCTTGAATTCTTAAGCCCAGTTGAGTGCACTTTCTTGAATAATGTCCCGTGCTCTTAAAACTTGACAAAAAATATTTTTGATATGAAAATCTTGTTGGAATTGATCACTGTTTGAATTGACTTGGAAAGCATATCTAACCATGTCTTATCTCATTCCTTCTCCTCTTCTCCTCACCTCATTTTTCTCCATTTATCTGCTTTTTCCTATTTCTTACTTCCTCCTCTATCCTGTCTGTGTCTTTCATCTTTATTTCCTCTCTTCAAATCTTTGTCTTCACCCCTCTTCCTTTCCTTTCTATTTTTTCTTTCCTCTGTCCAGCATGTGAGTTGATGAATCAGGGCATCCTTGCTCTGGTCACGTCCACAGGCTGCGCAGCTGCAAGTGCCCTGCAGTCTCTGACAGATGCAATGCACATTCCCCATCTTTTCATCCAGAGAAACGGGGATGGTGCACCCCGCACTGCCTGCCAGCTCAACCCCAGCCCAGACGGAGAGAGCTACACCTTGGCTGCCCGTCCACCTGTTCGAATCAATGACGTTCTGCTCACCCTCATCTCAGAACTGCACTGGCAGAAGTTCATCATCTTTTACGAGAGCGACTATGGTGAGTTGGGATGAATGAGAGCAGTTGATGGTCAAATGTATCTCATAAACATGACATTTGTGTATGTAATGCTCCAAAACCATCTCTAATGTCAGGGAGGACTGCATATGAATTAAAGCCATATTAACACTAAGTATTATATGCTGAAAAGAATATACTGAGTTGGTACTAAGATGAAAGAGCATCACCACACACACACGTATACTCAACATGCACAGTGCTAAAAAATAAATCAAAGTTCAGAAGGGAAAAACAAGTTCTCATTGCCACATTCACCATTATTAGCATCCTCATGAAGAGACAAGTCTGAGTCTAATTGGCTCATTTGTGGCACCAGAATGAGGGTGTGTCCCAGCAGTACTTTATATATTCTCAGATGTTCCCCATTTCCGTTTCATTATTCTCACCACGACTCCCCTGTGGACCAGACCTTTCCTGACCCACATTTGGCAAAAGCCAAAGCACTGTGGATCGAGGAGTGATTGGCAAGACGGTCCAAGGGCAGAGAAATGAAGAGAATATATTGCTGAATTGGCATTCCTCAGATGATACTTTGCCACTGCTGGCTAATCTTTTTACTACTTGGAAGAGTGCAATCTAGAAGGGAGTGTAAATCTGTTTTATTTTTTCAGTACAGTGCAAGCTACAGTTGATGTAGTGTATAGTAAAGCAAGCCCTCAAGGGAATACAGCCACCCACTACCACACTACAAGTTCCCACCCCCCAGTTTGGCCTGTCACAGTGCTCCATGTGAATGTATGTGACATGTTGTTCCACATTTACAGAGATCTGTCCTTCGATTTGTTTCTGACATTGGCACTCTTTGTAGAAAGTGCACTCTCAGCATTGAGTTGGATCGATTAAATTCCCACCATGTAAGAGCATCTGCCCATCTATCTGTCTGACTAGCTGTCTTGCTCTCACCTTTCTTTCTCTCTTACTAACTGTATGTCTTTCTGATTACCTGTCTTGCGGTCTGTCTGTCTTTCTGACTACCGATCTATGTCTTTATTTTTGACTAGCTAACTTGCAGTGTGTCTTGTTATCTACCTATCCTTCCTGTCTGTCTCACTACCTTGCTCTTCAACTGCCTGTCTGTCTCTTGCAAGCACTCAGATCTTTCTTTTTGACTAGCTGTCTGTCTGACTAGCAAGCTATCTGTCTACCTTGCTATTCATCTATCCACCCTGTCTGTCGGACTAGCTGTCTTGCTGTCTTTCTTTCCTTCTGACTTACTATCCACTATCCAACTAACTCACTCTGTGTCTGCAATCTATCTGTATTTCTTATTGACTAGCTGTCTGTCTAACTAGCTACAGTAGCTGTCTGACTGTATGTCCTTCTGTCTATCCACCCATCCTGTCTGTTTGACCAGCTGTAATGCTATCTGTGTATTTTTTTACTAGCTCGTTGTCTTATTATTTTTCAAACGGGCTTTATTGGCGTGGGTAACAGATGTTTACATTGCTAAAGCAAGTGTAAAATATAACCTACAAGCTATCTTGCTGTTTATCTGTCTTTCTTTTTGGCTACATGTCTGTCTGTCTGTCTAACTAGCTCTCTGTTTTGTTTTCACCGTGTTGCAATACAGTTCCATTCATTGAATCATATCATATCAGGAACTCTTTATGTATAACATCCCACTACAGCACAATGCACCATAGCCTTAAATTGCAAATCCTTTGAGAGGGAACCTATGTCTAACGCATGAAGGCTTGGTTTAACAAGGCACTGGTGGTAAAAAAATAAAACTAGCTCTAACAGAATAGCCTTTTTTAAATGTGCTAAATTAGGTGCTACAAAGTCGGCACCATTGACATTTGTGCTTGTGTTACACTGTTTAACTCTGCACTCGTTTAATTAAGGAATGTAGCGGCTAATTAGGATCCTCCTCACAAAACAGTCAAAATACCCGTGGTGCCTGCCTTGAAGCAGTACTACATTGACCCACACCACTGCCTAGAGAGAAGTACTGTCTGAAAATCTGTGTTGGCACTTGACTATTTAAAGAGATAGTGAATGTTAAATTCGAACTTGAGGTATGAGAAGGCAGAAACAGTTGCAGAAGTTCACTCAGTTTTAGTCAGATTATGCATTTATGTGTGTGGGTGTGGTAATGAGTCATTTCACACATTATCTATGATACATTTTAGTTTACTTTTTCAAACTGGGGATGGTTTGGTGCAAAAAATGTAATCTATGAAAAAACAATTATTAATAATTATTTATATATACTTTAAAATATATTTTTAACAAATCTACAAAACTAATTTCATTCAACAAAAGGACTAAAATGATTAGATTAACTAAAAATATAAACTGTCAAAGTAATATTAATAACAAAATGGTACGGCAGCTATACATCTAGGCTAATCCAAAGAAAAAGAAGGGAATGACTGTGTGGAAGACTTTTATGGCGCTGGGAAATAGTGTCTCTGTGCTAGAGACCAGCTACCCCGGGTCTTACAACAATCCACCGTAAATTTCGGTGTGTTTTTCTCCTTTTACTTGTCAGTCTGTAAACAACATCATGCCATCTGAAACGCTCTCTGCCCCCTCCTTGGCTAGGGGTGAACAGACTCACCGACAAGTAGATACAGGTTAGCTGCACTGCTAACAGGCAGCACAAAGTTTACTTAGTTGTCTGTGCAGTTAAGCTGCAGTAAAAAAAAAAAGGAAACGGCAAGTGGTTAAATGTAGTATTTTTCCTGCACGCCTCTATGACGTGCGTAGTAAAGTACATAATCAGGAGAGTAGAAATGGATATAATAATAGGTAAACATGATTACAGCTTTTGGTATATGACAGTTTTTAAGAATTGGTTTAACAGACATAATTCGGTTGATATCAAAAAGTACTGAGGTTCAAATACCAGCACTGCACACATGCAGTGGTGCTTTCAGTTGCCCTGGCTGATTAGACATCTTTTCAGTTTTAGTCTTGTTGAAGTATATTGTGGATTTGCTCAGGTAGCCAAAGTCTGTACACATGGAAGAGTCAGGAAGATGTCAGTGAAGTACAGTGTGTACACACTCACACAGTCCTGAGGAGAGGTCTAATCAAAGGTAATGGAAAACTGTGAATGTATTCTACTGTTGATATCATGGACCTGAACATGGATTCTTTAAGGAACAGGGTTAAAGGTCTACTAGTTATAAAAGTACCTTCTGACACAAAGTGAATTTTCTAAAATTAAGTGAGGCTTCCTTGTCAAAATTGTCCTCATAGAATGCATACAAATAGATTTGGAATAAGTATTGTGTTTAACTCTCAGAGACTGGGCCACTGTAATTGTTTTTTTTTTTTCTCAGAGTTCTCTAAGAAATAGTCTCTGACAGCTGCAGCAACACATCACACCAATTTTTAACATTGTACGTCTCTTAGACTGGCTCCTGTTAGGTGCCAGTAAACCATTGCTTAAGAAGAGGGCACAAGAGATTAAATGGGCACCAGTCAAACCTCAAACGGTGGAAAACAATATAGAAAATGTGATGGAAATATGGCATTTATGATCTGACCTGAGGTTTTTCATCTGTCAACATATCTGTCTCTTCAGTGGGCGTTTATATCACATGCTTCATGTATGTCATGATTTATTCACTAAGTATTTTTCCATTACTTTGTTGAATCTTGCTTTTATCACTACTTTTCCACCTCAGCCAAGTGTAAAAACGTTGTGATAGTTTGAGCAGTGTTTAAATTTTTGCATTTCCATCCAGCTGTTTTTATGTACAAACTGAAAATGTGCATTAAAACAAGTGGCAGGAAACCCACCAGTGTATGTCAAGCATGCTGTGTTACATGTAAAACACAAAGTTAGTTAGTGAAGTTTGCTTACATAATCATACCCTGAGGAAGACTGACTGAAACAATGCACAACATTAAATTAAACAATATTTGGTCCATTACACTTAATTTATTCCGGGGGCTAACATGCTGTTTGATATAAGTTGATTCAGATTTGAGAATATTACAGCTTTTTCTTTTTTTGTTGTTGTCTTCTCAAGTCAGTTTAATTATCTCTCTAAATCATATGCAGCAAGTTAAAAACAGGTACACAAAAAAATTCAGAATGAATTATTACATGGTTTATTTATTTTTTAGATAAAATACTTATTTACCATTTTCTCTTTTATATAGTAATTATCTTCCCTTTTGTTTAAGATGAATCTCCATAATACAAGGTTATGTATTTTTCCGTTTATTACATGGTGTATTGCATTGCTAACTGATCAGAAACTCTACTTTAGTCCTTGTTGCTACTTCTCCCGTCGCCTTCATCATCATTGCTGTAAGCACAGACGTTTTCAGCTTTACTCAAAGCACAGGAGCATGGATCAGGTTCTCAGTGTGATCTTGTCAAAGCCTTCCTGTCATGTCTCTTCAGCATTGTGTCTAGATTTAGCATGAAAAGGGCAGGAAGTACAACGCTGTGACATCCCCTTCAGTAGGAAAGTTCCTTTCATGATATTTATCACGTTCTTGAAACATAGTACAGAACGTTTCGCTTAGATTTTCCATAAATGCCTAGATTATAATTGCCTTGTTCATCATGTGAATGTATTACTCTTAAAGTTGACACAGGCACTTCATTAGTTTCATTGAGGGCTGCAACTAATGATTATTTTCACTATTGATTACAGTCCCTACAAGGAACTTTGATTTTGTGTTGATTCTGGCAGCCCCTGTGGACAAAAGTAGCATGAGCACCAGCACCTGGTGTCGTAAAGATCTAATCTGGGTAAAGTGTGCTTGGATGTAGAACCTGCATTTGTTTTGGAAGCGCGTGAAAGAAAGACACAGTTGTTGGCATGGTGCAAAGTGATGAGGTAATGTATCTATTTGTGGCTAGGTAAGATTAATAACTGTAATTTAACCATTTTATTACTGTTCATACGCCTAGGTTAAAGTATATGTAAGCCTACAACTAACAGAATCGGTTGCACGAGAATCAACATTCCCTGGTATGAGAGTTAATGAATGACTTGCCTGGCTAGTTT